AGACATTAGTGAGGCAGACGAACAGCTGGAGCCTGTTCCCAGTGTGCGCATGCACAGAATTGCCAGATGAAGGGAACAGTTAAAAGAACAGGGGTCGACTTGGAGGTAAGACCACAGTGGATGATGAATGCCCCCCCCCCCAGAGGAAATAAAAGAGGAGCGAAAGGGGAGGGGAGTTTGCAGGAGACAATGAGTTTGCTTAATTGGTTTGTGACTTTCCGAGACTCCTTGCCAAGTTTTGCAGATATCGGCCTGGCAGCTCTCCAAGCCGGATAACGTCTGTGACTGTAAATCCTGCCTTGAAAGACTTTGCTGGATGTGAATGAGCAGAATTCACTGTGAATTAATAAAATGGATTTTTGTTGGGACAAGGAGCTTGTTTCATACTCTTGGGAAGCCTCGGTCAGAACAATTACCTCTACGGGAACAAATCCAGCATCAGCCCCTCGGGGTCGCTTCCCCCGGTTAGGTGCCAGGTCATGTCCACGTAGCGATGGTAGCCGAGACTCCACGACTGGGGCCAGGTCTGCTTCTGGCATACTTGGGCCTATCACGGGCTCCTCAGCCCCAGCTGGTTCTTTCTCCTCCACCACAGGTGGCAGAGGCTCTCGATGTTCCTCCTGCAGAGGAAGCAGAGGGGAAATGTCAGAGAGGCTCAGGACCCAGGAGCAATACTTACTGGAGACCATGTTTTCCTATGATCCTCTACGGAAGCTCAATGGTTCCAAGTCATTTCCCCTTCTTTGGAGGTGAAGAAGGAGGTTGGAATGGAGAACGGACTTGAGTATGAATTCAACCCAACTCACTCACCTCTTGTTTTTTCACTGGTGGAGAGGAATATACCGTAGGAGCCGCCTGGATGACTGTGGGGTTGACTTTCGGAGGGGCCACCACCGGACGAGGCACGGGGACCAGTGGAGCCAAAGAGCCAACAGGCATGCCTGGCCCCACCTATTCAAAGAAGGAGCAGAACAGTCACCGTATGCTCCATAAACTCTTTGCTTAAAAATGGTTTCCTCCTTTTTGAAATGTAACCAAAATGAACAAGTATAACAAGGCACAGTAAAAAGTGGAAAAAAAACATGAAGATAATTAAACTCTGCAAGAAATATTCTTTAATAAAAAAAACCCAAAGTTAATACATTTCAGGAATTAAAAGTTAAAAATCCAATACTATTCAAATATTCAACAACAGACTAAATCTTGAACATGCAGAATTATTCCCAAATTTCTTAATGTCATTTAAAAAATTCAACAACAGACTAAATCTTGAATGTGCGGAATTATTCTCAGATTTCTTAATGTCATTTAAAAAACCAATAGTTATGTTCTTGTGAGGCGGACAGTCATATAAATATAAGCTACATCAGGAAATACATCTGCAGCTCTTTTGCAAAAGGAACAGGGTCAGTCAGTCAACAGATAGTAAAAAGGAGGACTGCCTGCTCTTCACCTGTACATGTATTGCTCTTTTAATTTATACTGACAAACCCTCTTCATATAATTCTAAACCCACCTTATAACTGGTCTCAAAACTTGGCATAGCTCATGCTACTTTCCCTGCTCTAAAAGAGAAAGGTACTTACTGGGGGACCAGGCCGCATTGGTCCTATGTTCCCAAGGGGTGGACCAGGTGCTCTCTGCATTGGTGGACCCATCAGCATTGGGGGGCTCTGAGGGCCTGGCATTGGAGGCCCTACCATGGGCTGGTGATGCATTGGGCGCATTGCCATGGGCCGAGGGCCACCTAAAAAAAAAAAGTAAGACAGACGGTGGAAGAAAAATACAGGCGCTGGCCATCCACTGGGCGTAAAAAGTAAAAGGAAAGCTTACCTGCCCGCTGTAAGACATGAGGCACAAAGGTCGGTCGGAGAATGGGAGGACGTTGCGGGGGAACGGCTGGAAGGAAAAATAAATACTCTGAAAACTCTCCTTCTGAAGCAAACGGTTTCTATTTTACAAGTAATTTTCTTAGAAAACTCAACTCTTCCTGCAGTTCATTGAGAGTGTATATTGGGAACAGGGATGCCTAGCTCTGACACCTACTGAGTGAGGTGCAGAGGAGGAGGAATGGGGACTGTCCCTCCTCAACCAGCCTGATCATTCCCTTGCAGTCCATCTTGCTTTTTGTTACCATGTTACCCGCAAATCAAAAATTGATGGAGAATGCACGTACAATAGAACTGTTTGGCAGGTTAGAAGAAAGTTTAAAATGCCTGGAGTAGAAAATACTGTACTTGCCCACCGCAGTCCACCTTATGTTGTCATCTACGGCACTAAAGACATGTTCTTTTGCGTCCCCTCAAATCTGCTCAATGGCTCAATTTGTAATGCTGTTTATTACTTTTAAAACTCTTGTCTTTAACCTGACCCATATTTTTAAACCAGATGAAAATATATTTGTTTCAGCAGTTTAATAGCACAGGGCATTCTTGAACATCACTGTTTTCAGCTCTTGGTTTGATTTATTCTAATTCTTTTTCCCCCCTCTTTTTAGAGTTTTCTTAAATCAATATTTTGGAAACAATATTCTAAGAGTTAAAATCAAGAGTTTCTCAGGTACAACAAACGATATTACTTAAACTGGAGTGAGGCACCTCTATTCTTTCAGAAATAGAATCTTCCTCACTTAAAGACATCGGTGAAGTTAACGCGGGGACAGGAAGATGATTGTTTAGCCAAACACTTTGGAACTGACCATACCTGGGCCTACAAATGGCACGGGAGGAGCCACAATAGGAGCAACTACTGTGGCAGCTGCTGCTGCTCGGGCTTCCAAACTCTGCTGGACCTGGAGGGCATGAGGATAATAAAATGAAAGGATGGTAGCAGAATAAGATGAATAGTCATGCACAAAAATTTACAACGTCAAAGCCAATGTAGTCCTGATGTTAATTTTCCACTGAAAGCATTCTAGCATTTCCTGCATTACAAAGAATACAATTAAATGTATCTTTTCTTTTTTCTTTCCCTTATGTACACTGAGAGCATATGCACCAAAGACAAATTCCTTCTGTGTCCAATCATACTTGGCCAATAAAGAATTCTAATCTAATCTAATTAAACAAACTGCTCACCTGTTGATAAGTGTTAGTAGCAATGATGGGTCGGATGACAGGAACAGGGGGCACCGCAGTTACCGCTGGTACTGCTAGAGCAACTGGCACAGCTTCTACCACAGAGGCAACAGGAGGCAGAGAGACAGGAGCTCCAAGCACTTCCTGCTCAAACCTGGAAGTAATTATCAGGAGGCATTATTACATTTTTCAACATTCAAACACTTCATCTTCATCTCAACAGCAATTAGAATCAGTTGCTTGGCTTTATTCCCTGATTAGATTCACATTCCTTCCCTGAAGCATTCAAAAAACAAAATTAAATTCCCACTGAACTATAATATTTAGTGACATTTTGGTCCATAGAGAGACAAAATGTCAGACAGGCAGACAGATATTGTGATCCTTTATCTAAACTGGGAAATAGTAGGGATAAATACTCAGACAGCTTGTCCAAGATGTTGTAGATTCCCAACTCAGTTTCCTAGGATGCTCATCTGTCTTTTCTCCAAGTTTCAAAATATTTAAAACTACAGGCAAAAGAAATCCTCAATTTCTCACTGTTCCCCCCAAGTCAAAGAGCATGGGACTAAAATTAAACATAAAGAAGACCAAACTAATGACAACAGGTACAACAACCAGGCTTAGAACTGGCTGCAAAGATACCTGGTGGTGGAGATCTTCTGCCTTTTAACATGAACAATCAACAATAAAGGAACAAGCAGTCAAGAAACACATTACAGATGAGCACTTGGTAAAACAACCATAAAAGCCCTGGAAAAGCTATCCAGATGCTGTGATGTGTCTATACCTACAAAGATCAGATTAGAATCATGCAAGCCATGGTATTCCCAGTTTAAGAAATCAGGATAGGAAAAGTCTTGACCTTGGACAACCAAGAAAACAAACCAATGGACCATCAAATGAATTAATCCAAGCTCAAATTATCCTACTTTGGACATTTTAAGCAAAGACCCTGCAAAGGGCTCTAATGCCCACAGTGCTATCTTATGTCTAAGTATGTCTTATTTATTATTATGTATATTCTAAGTATATTTACCCGTGTGATAGGGCTGCATTACTTTTATCCTTTTCATATGTTCCACTACCGTCTCTTATTGGTATGGTCATTATGGTTATTATTATTTTGATATTAGTGATTATTACTTTGTTATTTTGCAAGTACATTGAGTGCTTATGCCCTGCAGACAAATTCCTTGTGTGTCTATCACGCTTGGCCAATGAAGTATTGCTGTCTATCTATATACGGTATCATCTATCTATCATCTATCTATCTATCTATCTATCTATCTATCTATCTATCTATCTATCTATCTATCTATCTA